ACACACACACACACACACACACACTACACACACACACGCACTACACACACACACACTACACACACGCACACACACACACACTACACACACACTACACACACACACACACACACTACACACACACACACACACACACACACACACACACACACACACACACACACACACGCACTACACACACACACACTACACACACACACACACACTACACACACGCACTACACACACACTACACACTACACACGCACTACACACACACACGCACTTACACACACACACACACACACGCACTACACACACACACACACACACACACACACTACACACACACGCACTACACACACACACACACACACACACACACACACACACACACTACACACACACGCACTACACACACACACACACACACACGCACTACACACACACACACGCACTACACACACACACACACACACACACACACACACTACACACACACACACACACTACACACACACGCACACACACGCGCGCTGACGCACCCACGGGAGTTTCTAGTGATGTGTAGAAACTAGCTCATGAATGAGTCGGATCCGGATGTCATTTTTTAAAAGAGCCGAATCTTTTTCTATCTCATTTTTAAAAGAGCCACACGAGAGCCACACGAGAGCCACACGACAAGACTGGAATCCCGTTGAAGAGCCGAAAGTGCGGTGACCGGGAGGTTCCGTGTTCCTCGACAGTCGCGGGCTCGTGTGGGCGGAGGCGCGGGTCAGCTGACTGTCACACCGAGTCCCGGAGCCTGAACCCGGGTACACACTGCGCTCGGAGCCCGGTAGGTGCGGAGCTTGGAGGCCGGGCAGTGTCGCTCTCTACCCGTGCTGAGTGGAGCTCGAAAGCCGGTACGTGTGGAGCCGTGAGGCGGGTTCGCGGAGCTTGGAGCCCGGTCTGCTGGAGCTGAGAGCGGGCGGTGAGTGAAGAGCTCCCCGGGGCGCTGCTTAACCTGAGGCCGCCCGTGACGCTGCGCCGGGTCTGTGTGGAGCTCCGAGGCCGGGCAGTGTGGAGCACCGAGGCCGGGCAGTGTGGAGCTCCGAGGCCGGGCAGTGTGGAGCTCTGAGGCCGGGCAGTGTGGAGCTCCGAGGCCGGGGCAGTGTGGAGCTCTGAGGCCGGGCCGTGTCGCTCTCTTCCCGGACTGTGTGGAGTCGCGAGGTCGGCGTGTGGAGCTCTGAGACCGGGTCACCTGTAGCCTGAGTCCGGTTCGGGAGTCCGGTTCGGGAGCACCATGGCGGCTCTGGAGCTCGCCATGCAGGGCCTGGCGGTGTTCGGCCTGCTGCTGTTCGTGGTTCTGTGGCTCATGCACCTCATGTCCATCATCTATGTGTGAGTACGGCTAATGCTAACGGCTACATGCTAACGGCTACATGCTAACGGGCTGTTGTCTTCTCGTCTTGTGACACTCGGACACGTTTATTCATATTTATTCGTAGGTTTCCCCGCAGACTCGCTCCCCCCGGGCTCTCGGGGCCTTCAGGCGGGGTTGTTGACCCGGTGTGACCCGGTGTTGGCTCCGGTTCACTGAAGGGGCGTTTTCAGTGGAACCGCCGCGTTAGCTTTAGCCTCGGAGCTAAACAGAACCTGTGTCCGGTCCGTGCGGTTCAGTTTTGTGACGGTACAGAGTCGACACTCGTTTAGAGCCGTTTCTGAATCGTAAAAAGGACAAATAATCGTACTTTAGTGTCGTGTTTGACCGGTTTGCTCTTTTATAAAGAGCTGTAGCTCGTTAGCTTTAGCTACTTCCTCCCTCCTCTAAACAAACACAAACAAGAACAGTTTAGTGAGAACAATGGCACACACACGCACACGCACACGCACACGGGTGTGGGGACACGGGTGTGGGGACACGGGTGTGGGGACACGGGTGTGGGGACACGGGTGTGGGGACACGGGTGTGGGGACTAGGGACGGGCATTCGATGAAATTTTCTTAATCGATCGTCGGAAGAATTAAGGATCGATTATTGATTAATCATGAACGTTTTTCTATTAAAATGATCATCATTATTATTACTATCTGCACTAATCTGCATCAATAAATTCAACTTTACGACATATAAACATAACGACTCTAGAGCCACATCAGCTGTTTGACATTATAATGTGTTTAATTCAGTTTTGTTCAAATCTCACAGAAACAAAACTTAAAACCACATCACTAATTTACATAAACTAAGTGAAGATAAAACTCCAGCTCTTGTGTCGCTGATGTGGTTCAACTTGTGTTGGATTAAAAGACATGACTCAGGTGAATACAGGTCAGTGTGACCAGATTTGTGTTTGTCAAAACCAGGACAGCGTACGGGGGGAGGGGGGCGGGGCCTCGTCATCCACATTGAGCGACTCTCACCTGGAAAAACTTTTTCCCACTGGACACAGAAACATATGTGCTGCTTTATCCACTGTGCACATGGACTCACACTTGTCCCAACGCAACGGAAAGTGTGGAATTTCTTCTACAAATCCTGGTTAAATCCACATTTGTGCTTCGGTTCGTTACAGACTGACCCACTGTTTGTGTCTCGCTCCTTCTGATGCAGAGACACATGTACACACCTGTTTGGTCACGACACACACAACAACCTACATTCGGTTTGTCAATTAAAATTAACGTAATCGATGAAATTCTTAATGATCAATTATTGATTAATTGATTAATCATGCCCATCCCTAGTGGGGACACAGGTGTGGGGACACAGGTGTGGGGACACAGGTGTGGGGACAGGGGACGGGACAGGGGACAGAAGGCTGATCTCTGGTCGGTGAGTCCAGTCGTGTTTGACTTGAGTCGTGTTTTCATATTTTTTACTTTGACTCAGCATTTAAAGACAGAATATCGGTATCGAACACCGGCACCGATCCAGGAATAAGAGCTGGATCCAGTATCGGGTCCGTGTTCTGGATCTCCCGGACGGGTCAAGTGCGTTAGAACATGGATTAAAGCTCAGGCTCAGTTTGTGATTCTTAAAAATCCCTTTAATACCAAGTTCTCCAGCAGATACTGTGTGATAATTGGACTGTGGTTCCTCTGTGGCTCCTCTGTGGCTCCTCTGTGGCTCCTCTGTGGCTCCTCTGAGGCTCCTCTGAGGCTCCTCTGTGGCTCCTCTGTGGCTCCTCTGTGGCTCCTCTGTGGTTCCTCTGTGGCTCCTCTGTGGCTCCTCTGAGGCTCATGAGCGCCATGTGCACAAGAGTCAGAATCAGAACTGAGAAGAACACCAGTGAAAAATGTGAAACTGTTCAAACTGTTCTCCTCAGATCTTTCTCCATGTTCTAGTCGTTTCTTCTCTCTGACCCTCTGAAGTTGGATTTGGAGTGATTCATGTTTGAGGAATCTTTAATCTCTTATTTTCCAGTCAGGTGGGCGGGTGGTCAGTCAGGTGGGCGGTCGGGTGCGGTCGGTCGGGTGGTCGGTCGGGTGGTCGGTCGGGTGGGCGTCGGGTGGGCGGTCGGGTGGGCGGTCGGGTGGGCGGTCGGGTGGGCGGTCGGTGGTCGGTCGGGTGGTCGGTCGGGTGGTCGGTCGGGGTGGGCGGTCGGGTGGGCGGCGGTGGGGGTGGCGGGGGCGGTCGGTGCGGTCGGGTGGCGGTCTTCAGTGGTACAGATCCCCGTGACTGTGGCTCTCAAAACCATCTTTACTCATGAGTCACGTTTAAAACTCGTGGGCTCCACAAACTAATCCTGAACTTTAATCCATGTTCTAACGCACTGACCTCCTCACAAACACACACGGACTTATTCTGGTCCTGGTTTGGTCTCTGGTCTCTGGTCCTGGTCTGATCCCAGTCCCGGTCCCGGTCCTGGTCTAACCCTGTGGTCTCCCGCAGGAGGCTCCATCTTCACCGTAAGCGAGCGGAGGTGAAGCAGCCGTTCTCTCAGATCAGCGGCGTCTCGCTCCTCAAGCCGCTCAAAGGAGTCGACCCAAACCTGGTGTCCAACCTCGAGACCTTCTTCACCCTGGACTACCCCAAGGTGAGGAAGAGGAGGAGGAGGAGGAGTAGAGGAAGAGTAGTATTAGTATAACCCTGTTGCTGATGTTGTTTTGTGTGTGTGTGTGTTTTGTGTGTGTGTGTGTGTGTGTTGTGTGTGTGTGTGTGTGTGTGTGTGTGTGTTGTGTGTTGTGTGTGTTGTGTGTGTGTGTGTGTGTGTGTGTGTGTGTGTGTGTGTGTGTGTGTGTGTGTGTGTGTGTGTGTGTGTTGTGTGTGTGTGTGTTGTGTGTGTGTGTCTGTGTGTGTGTGTGTGTGTGTGTGTGTGTGTGGTGTGTGTGTTGTGTGTGTGTGTGTCGTGTGTGTGTGTGTGTGTGTGTGTGTCGTGTGTGTGTGTGTGTGTGTGTGTGTGTGTCTGTGTGTGTGTCGTGTGTGTGTGTGTGTGTGTGTGTCGTGTGTGTGTGTGTGTGTGTGTGTGTGTGTGTGTGTGTGTGTGTGTGTGTGTGTGTGTGTGTGTGTGTGTGTGTGTGTGTGTGTGTGTGTGTGTGTGTGTGTGTGTGTGTGTGTGTGTGTGTGTGTGTGTGTGTGTGTGTGTGTGTGTGTTTCAGTACGAGATCCTGTTGTGTGTTCAGGATCAGGATGATCCGGCCGTCGACGTCTGTAAGAAACTGTTGGGGAAATATCCCGGGGTGGACGCTCGCCTCTTCATCGGTGAGTCCTCCTCTTCCTCCTCTTCCTCCTCTTCCTCCTCCTCCTTCTCCTCTCTCTCTTCTCTCGCTTCTTTTCTTTCTGTGTCAGTGGTTTTTCTCTCTTCTCTCTTTTCTTTTATTTTCTTTCTCTCAGTAGTTTGTTGTTTGTTTCTTTCTGTCAGTAGTTTGTTGTTTGTTTTCTGTCTGTCAGTAGTTTGTTTGTTGTTTGTTTTCTTTCTGTCAGTAGTTTGTTTTTGTTTGTTTTCTTTCTTGTTTTGTCTAGTTTGTTTTTGTTGTTTGTCTTTCTTTCTGTCAGTAGTTTGTTTGTTTGTTTGTTTTTCTTTCTGTCAGTAGTTTGTTGTTTGTTTTCTTTCTGTCAGTAGTTTGTTTGTTGTTTCTTTCTGTCAGTAGTTTGTTTGTTGTTTGTTTTCTTTTTGTCAGTAGTTTGTTTGTTGTTTGTTTTCTTTCTGTCAGTAGTTTGTTTTCTTTCTGTCAGTAGTTTGTTTGTTTGTTGTTTGTTTTCTTTCTGTCAGTAGTTTGTTGTTTGTTCCTTTCTGTCAGTAGTTGTTTGTTTTCTTTCTGTCAGTAGTTTGTTTGTTGTTTCTTTCTGTCAGTATTTGTTGTTTGTTTTCTTTCTGTCAGTTGTTTGTTTGTTTGTTTGTTTCTTCTGTCAGTAGTTTGTTTTCTTTCTGTCAGTAGTTTGTTTGTTTGTTTTTTTCTGTCAGTAGTTTGTTTGTTTTCTTTCTGTCAGTAGTTTGTTTGTTGTTTGTTTCTTTCTGTCAGTAGGTGTTTGTTTTTTCTGTCAGTAGTTTGTTGTTTTCTTTCTGTCAGTAGTTTGTTGTTTGTTTTCTTTCTGTCAGTAGTTTGTTTTGTTTGTTTTTTTTTCAGTAGTTGTTTGTTGTTTGTTTTTCTTCTGTCAGTAGTTGTTTGTTTTGTTTTCTTTCTGTCAGTAGTTTGTTTGTTGTTTCTTTCTGTTGTTTGTTTTCTTTCTGTCAGTAGTTTGTTTGTTGGTTTTTTTCTTTCTGTCAGTAGTTTGTGTTGTTTGTTTTCTTTCTGTCAGTAGTTTGTTTGTTGTTTGTTTCTTTCTGTCAGTAGTTTGTTTGTTGTTTGTTTTTTCTGTCAGTAGTTTGTTGTTTGTTTTCTTTCTGTCAGTAGTTTGTTTGTTGTTTGTTTTCTTTTGTCAGTAGTTTGTTTGTTTGTTTCTTTCTGTCAGTAGTTTGTTTTTTTCTGTCAGTAGTTTGTTGTTTGTTTTCTTTCTGTCAGTAGTTTGTTTTTGTTTGTTTCTTTCTGTCAGTAGTTGTTTGTTGTTTGTTTTCTTTCTGTCAGTAGTTTGTTGTTGTTTGTTTTCTTTCTGTCAGTAGTTTGTTTGTTGTTTGTTTTCTTTCTGTCAGTAGTTTGTTTTTGTTTTCTTTCTGTCAGTAGTTTGTTGTGTTTGTTTCTTCTGTCAGTAGTGTTGTTTGTTGTTTGTTTTCTTTCTGTCAGTAGTTTTGTTGTTTGTTTTCTTTCTGTCAGAGTTTGTTTGTCTTTGTTGTTTGTTGTTTCTTTTCTGTCAGTAGTTTGTTTGTTGTTTGTTTTCTTTCTGTCAGTAGTTTGTTGTTTGTTTTCTTGTCTGTCAGTAGTTTTTTGTTGTTTGTTTTCTTTCTGTCAGTAGTTTGTTTGTTGTTTGTTTTCTTTCTGTCAGTAGTTTGTTTGTTGTTTGTTTTTCTTTCTGTCAGTAGTTTGTTGTTTGTTTGTTTTCTTTCTGTCAGTAGTTTGTTTGTTGTTTGTTTTTCTTCTGTCAGTAGTTTGTCTGTCAGTAGTTTGTTGTTTGTTTTCTTTCTGTCAGTAGTTTGTTTGTTTGTTTGTTTTCTTTCTGTCAGTAGTTTGTTGTTTGTTTTCTTTCTGTCAGTAGTTTGTTTGTTGTTTGTTTTCTTTCTGTCAGTAGTTTGTTGTTTGTTTCTTCTGTCAGTAGTTTGTTTGTTGTTTGTTTTCTTTCTGTCAGTAGTTTGTTGTTTGTTTTCTTTCTGTCAGTAGTTGTTTGTTTTTTCTTTCTGTCAGTAGTTTGTTGTTTGTTTTCTTTCTGTCAGTAGTTTGTTGTTTGTTTCTTTCTGTCAGTAGTTTGTTGTTTGTTTTCTTTCTGTCAGTAGTTTGTTTGTTGTTTGTTTTCTTTCTGTCAGTAGTTTTTTGTTTGTTTTTGTTTTCTTTCTGTCAGTAGTTTGTTTTCTTTCTGTCAGTATTTGTTGTTTGTTTCTTTCTGTCAGTAGTTTGTTGTTTGTTTTCTTTCTGTCAGTAGTTTGTTTGTTTGTTTTTTTTGTTCTGTTGTTGTTTCTGTCAGTATTTGTTCTTGTTGTTTGTTTTTTTCTTTCTGTAGTTTGTTTGTTTGTTGTTTGTTTCTTTCTGTCAGTAGTTTGTTTTTTTCTGTCAGTAGTTTGTTGTTTGTTTTCTTCTGTCAGTAGTTTGTTGTTTTTGTTTTCTTTCTGTCAGTAGTGTTGTTTGTTTTCTTTTGTTTGTTGTTTGTTTTCTTTCTGTCAGTAGTTGTTTGTTTTTCTTTCTGTCAGTAGTTGTTTGTTTTTGTTTTCTTTTGTCAGTAGTTTGTTGTTTGTTTTCTTTCTGTCAGTGTTTGTTGTTTTTCTTTCTGTCAGTAGTTTGTTTGTTGTTTGTTTGTTTGTTTTCTGTCAGTAGTTGTTTTGTTTTTTTCTGTCAGTAGTTTGTTTGTTGTTTGTTTTCTTTCTGTCAGTAGTTTGTTTGTTGTTTGTTTTCTTTCTGTCAGTAGTTTGTTGTTTGTTTTCTTTCTGTCAGTAGTTTGTTTGTTGTTTGTTTTCTTTCTGTCAGTAGTTTGTTTGTTGTTTGTTTTCTTTCTGTCAGTAGTTTGTTTGTTTGTTTTTCTTTCTGTCAGTAGTTTGTTTGTTGTTTGTTTTCTTCTGTCAGTAGTTGTTTGTTGTTTGTTTTCTTCTGTCAGTAGTTTTTGTTGTTTGTTTTTGTTGTCAGTTTGTTGTTGTTTTCTTTCTGTCAGTAGTTGTTTGTTTGTTTCTTTCTGTCAGTTGTTTGTTTGTTGTTTGTTTTCTTTCTGTCAGTAGTTTGTTGTTTGTTTGTTTCTTTCTGTCAGTAGTTTGTTTTTGTTTTCTTTCTGTCAGTAGTTTGTTGTTTTGTTTCTTCTGTCAGTAGTTTGTTTGTTGTTTGTTTCTTTCTGTCAGTAGTTTGTTTTCTGTCAGTAGTTTGTTGTTTGTTTTCTTCTGTCAGTAGTTTGTTGTTTGTTTTCTTTCTGTCAGTAGTTTGTTGTTTGTTTTCTGTCTGTCAGTAGTATGTTTGTTGTTTGTTTCTTTCTGTCAGTAGTTTGTTTTCTTTCTGTCAGTAGTTTGTTGTTTGTTTTCTGTCTGTCAGTAGTTTGTTGTTTGTTTTCTTTCTGTCAGTAGTTTGTTTGTTTTCTGTCTGTCAGTAGTTTGTTGTTTGTTTTCTTTCTGTCAGTAGTTTGTTGTTTGTTTTCTTTCTGTCAGTAGTTTGTTGTTTGTTTCTTTTCTGTCAGTGTTGTTTGTTTTCTTTCTGTCAGTAGTTTGTTGTTTGTTTGTTTTCTTTCTGTCAGTAGTTTTGTTTGTTGTTTGTTTCTTTCTGTCAGTAGTTTGTTTGTTTGTTTTGTTTTCTTTCTGTCAGTAGTTTGTTGTTTGTTTTTGTCTGTCAGTAGTTTGTTGTTTGTTTTCTTTCTGTCAGTAGTTTTTGTTGTTTGTTTTTCTGTCAGTAGTTTGTTGTTTGTTTTCTTTCTGTCAGTAGTTGTTGTTTTGTTTGTTTTCTTTCTGTCAGTAGTTTTGTTGTTTGTTTTCTTTCTGTCAGTAGTTTGTTGTTTGTTTTCTTTCTGTCAGTAGTTTGGTTGTTTGTTTTCTTTTTGTCAGTTTGTTTTTGTTGTTTTCTTTCTGTTGTCAGTAGTTTGTTTGTTTGTTTGTTTTCTTTCTGTCAGTAGGTTGTTTGTTGTTTGTTTTCTTTCTGTCAGTAGTTTGTTGTTTTTTCTGTCAGTAGTTTGTTGTTTGTTTTCTTTCTGTCAGTAGTTTGTTTGTTGTTGTTTCTTTCTGTCAGTAGTTTGTTTTCTGTCAGTAGTTTGTTGTTTGTTTTCTTTCTGTCAGTAGTTTGTTGTTTGTTGTTTGTTTTCTTTCTGTCAGTAGTTTGTTTGTTGTTTGTTTTCTTTCTGTCAGTAGTTTGTTGTTGTTTTCTTTCTGTCAGTAGTTTGTTGTTTGTTTTCTTTCTGTCAGTAGTTTTTGTTTGTTTCTTTCTGTAGTTGTGTTGTTTGTTTTCTTTCTGTCAGTAGTTTTGTTGTTTGTTTTTCTTTCTGTCATGTTTGTTTGTTGTTTGTTTTCTTTCTGTCAGTAGTTTGTTTGTTGTTTGTTTCTTTCTGTCAGTAGTTTGTTTGTTGTTTGTTTTCTTTCTGTCAGTAGTTTGTTTGTTTGTTTCTGTCAGTAGTTTGTTGTTTGTTTGTTTCTTTCTGTCAGTAGTTTGTTTGTTGTTTGTTTTCTTTCTGTCAGTAGTTTGTTTGTTGTTTGTTGTTCCAGGGGGGAGGAAAGTCGGGATTAACCCCAAGATCAACAACCTGATGCCGGGATACGAGAGCGCCAAGTACAACCTGGTGTGGATCTGCGACAGCGGAATACGAGGTGAGACCCACCAGGACCCGGACCCGGACCCGGACTCAGACCCACCAGGACCAGGACTAGACCCGGACTCAGACCCACCAGGACCATTACCAGGACTAGACTTGGACCCGGACCCAGACCCGGACTCGGACCTGGACTCACACCCGATTTAGACCCACTTTAGGTTTAGTCCTGTTATAGTTCTGGTCTAGTCCTGGTTCAGTCCTGGTCTAGTCCTGGTCTAGTCCTGGCTTCAGTCATGGTTTAGTCCTATTGTAGTCCTGGTTTAGTCCTGGTTTAGACCTGGTCTAGTCCTGGTCTAGTCCTGGTTTAGTCCTGTTGTAGTCCTGGTCTAGTCCTGGTTTAGACCTGGTCTAGTCCTGGTTTAGTCCTGTTGTAGTCCTGGTTTAGTCCTGGTCTAGTCCTGGTCTAGTCCTGGTTTAGACCTGGTCTAGTCCTGGTTTAGTCCTGTTAGTCCTGGTTGGTCCTTGTAGTCTGGTCCTGGTCTAGTCCTGTTTAGTCTAGTCCTGGTCTAGTCCTGGTTTAGTCCTGTTGTAGTCCTGGTTTAGTCCTGGTCTTTGTCTCCTCAGTGAAGTCCGACACGCTCACAGATCTGACCAATCAGATGACGGAGAAGGTGGGCCTGGTGCACGGTTTGCCGTACGTCGCCGACCGTCAGGGATTCGCCGCCACGTTAGAACAGGTGACGCACGCCGACCTCACACTCAAAACACTGCTGCACCTCGTGATGTCATCGTGTGCTGATACAGGAAGTGCCCCACTGTGTTTTTAAACTCCACACACCTTCACTAGAATCACCTGGATCTGTTCTGAAAAGCTGTTCACTCGATGACATCACCAGGTAGAACGGAGCGTTCGGCAGGTGTATTTTGGTCTTTTTGACAGGTGTTTGACAGGTGTATTCTGTGTCTGTTGGGCAGGTGTATTTTGGTCTCACCTGTCTGTCACCTGTCTGTTTGACAGGTGTACTTCGGGTGTTTGACAGGTGTTTGACAGGTGTTTGACAGGTGTCTGTTTGACAGGTGTTTGACAGGTGTTTGACAGGTGTTTACTGTTGTGGCAGGTGTTTGACAGGTGTTTGACAGGTGTGTTTTGGACAGGTGTACTTTGGGCAGGGTGTTTTGACAGGTGTTTGACAGGTGTGTTTTGGACAGGTGTACAGGTGTTTGGACAGGTGTTTGACAGGGTGTTTGACAGGTGTACTGTTTGACAGGTGTTTGACAGGTGTTTGACAGGTGTTTGACAGGTGTGTTTGACAGGTGTGTTTTGGACAGGTGTACTTGGTTTGCAGGTGTTTGACAGGTGTTTGACAGGTGTGTTTTGTGTTTGACAGGTGTACTTGTGTTTGACAGGTGTTTGACAGGTGTACTTGGGCAGGTGTTTGACAGGTGTTTGACAGGTGTGTTTTGGACAGGTGTACTTGGGCAGGTGTTTGACAGGTGTGTTTTGGACAGGTGTACTTGGGCAGGTGTTTGACAGTGTGTTTTGACAGGTGTACTTTGGACAGGTGTTTGGACAGGTGTTTGACAGGTGTGTTTTGGACAGGTGTACTTGGTTTGCAGGTGTTTGACAGGTGTTTGACAGGTGTGACAGGTGTGTTTTGGACAGGTGTACTTGTGTTTGACAGGTGTTTGACAGGTGTTTTGACAGGTGTGTGTTTGGACAGGTGTACTTGGGCAGGTGTTTGACAGGTGTTTGACAGGTGTTTTGGACAGGTGTACTTGGGCAGGTGTTTGACAGTGTGTTTGACAGGTGTGTTTTGTTTGACAGGTTTGGACAGGTGTACTTGGGCAGGTGTTTGACAGGTGTTTGACAGGTGTGTTTTGGACAGGTGTACTTGGGCAGGTGTTTGACAGGTGTACTTGTGTTTGACAGGGTGTTTTGACAGGTGTTTGACAGGTGTGTTTTGGACAGGTGTACTTGGGCAGGTGTTTGACAGGTGTTTGACAGGTGTGTTTTGGACAGGTGTACTTGGGCAGGTGTTTGACAGGTGTGACTTGGACAGGTGTTTGACAGGTGTTTTGACAGGTGTGTTTTGGACAGGTGTACTTGGGCAGGTGTTTGACAGGTGTTTGACAGGTGTGTTTTGGACAGGTGTACTTGGGCAGGTGTTTGACAGGTGTTTGACAGGTGTGTTTTGGACAGGTGTACTTGGGCAGGTGTTTGACAGGTGTGTTTGACAGGTGTACTTGGGCAGGTGTTTGACAGGGTGTTTTGGACAGGTGTACTTCGGCAGGTGTTTGACAGGTGTTTGACAGGTGTTTTGGACAGGTGTTTGACAGGTGTGTTTTGGACAGGTGTACTTGGGCAGGTGTTTGACAGGTGTTTGACAGGTGTGTTTTGGACAGGTGTACTTGGGCAGGTGTTTGACAGGTGTTTGACAGGTGTGTTTTGGACAGGTGTACTTCGGGACGTCTCACCCGCGCTCTTACATCTCGGCCAACGTGACGGGGATCAAGTGTGTGACGGGGATGTCCTGCCTCATGAGGAAGGACGTCCTGGACCAGGCTGGAGGACTCGTGTCCTTCGCTCAGTACATCGCAGAGGACTACTTCATGGCCAAGGCCATCGCAGACAGGTCTGGACTGGATGGACTGGACTGGACCTGGACTGGACCTGGACTGGACCGGGGACTGGACTGGACCTGGACTGGACCTGGACTGGACCTGGGGACTGGACCGGGACTGGACCGGGACTGGACTCGGACTGGACTGGACCGGGGACTGGACTGGGACTGGACTGGGGACTGGACCTGGACTGGACTGGGGACTGGGACTGGACTGGACTGGGGACTGGGACCTGGACTGGACTGGGGACTGGGACTGGACTGGACTGGGGACTGGACCGGGACTGGACCGGGACTGGACTGGGAGGAGAATAATAATAAATGTAGCTGCAAGCGGCAATGATGGGCTCTTGCTTGTGTTATTTTGTGCATTATCATGTTTGTGCGTCGTCACTTTTGCTGCTCTGGTCGTTTTTTTGTTCCCGTGGTCCAGATTTGGTTTTGTTGGGCGTCCTATTGGTGAGGACAGTTTAAGCCTGTTGCCGTGGCAACACGGTGGGAGATGGCGTGAGGGCGTCACCTGCTCATCACAAAACCACTCACCCGTCACACTGTTGGCTTTACTTCAAAGTCCTCTGCCGATTATTTGTAAAAAAAGTTCAAACATTGACCATTTAATGACAGTGCGTCTTATAATCCAGAGCGATTTATACAAATATAAGAATATTTTCTGATTAAACCCATGAACCTGCTTCATTCCAACAAAAACCCACATTTGACCCAGATTTACTTCAGTATTACTGACCTATAGAACGATGTGAAGTCACCGACACTCAGGCCTAGTCATCATAATAATAATAATAATCAATAATAACAATAATAATAATAATCAATAATAATAATAATAATAATCAATAATAACAGTAATAATAATAATAATAATCCTCCTCCTGGTCTTGTCCTGGTGTTGTGGTTCCTCACACTCAAGTGTGTTGTGTTTGTTTGTATGTTTCTGTGTGTGTGTGTGTGTGTGTTTCTGTGTGTGTGTTTATATATATATGTGTGTGTGTGTGTGTGTGTGTGTGTGTGTGTGTGTTTATATGTGTGTGTGTGTGTTTCTGTGTGTGTGTGTGTGTGTTTCTGTGTGTGTATATATGTGTGTGTGTGTGTGTGTGTGTGTTTATATATATGTGTGTGTGTGTGTTTCTGTGTGTGTGTGTGTGTGTGTTTATATATATATGTGTGTGTGTGTGTTCCAGGGGCTGGAGGTTCTCCATGGCGACCCAGGTGGCTCTGCAGAACTCGGGTTCTTACTCCATCGCACAGTTCCAGTCCAGGATGATCAGGTGACCTCAGCTCGCGCTCTCATTGGTCCATTTATGGTGTAAAGTCTTTATTGTGCAGAGAAACACAGGAGTCCTGGTTCTGGTTCTAGTCCTGGTTCTGGTCCTGATTCTAGTCCCGGTTCCGGTTCTGGTTCTGGTCCTGGTTCTAGTCCCGGTTCTGGTTCTGGTCCCGGTTCTAGTCCTGGTTCTGGTCCTGTTTCTAGTCCCGGTTCTGGTTCTGGTTCTAGTCGTGGTTCTGGTTGTGTTTCAGATGGACTAAGTTGAGGATAAACATGCTCCCGGGGACGGTCCTGGAGCCCGTCTCTGAGTGTTTCCTCGCCAGCCTCATCATCGGCTGGGCCGCACACTACATCTTCAGGTACAAATACTGTGAATACTACTACTGCAAATACTTCTACTACTACCAATACTGCAAATTCTACTACTATTGTATTGTATATACTATACTATAAATACTAATACTGATTATCTGACGGTGTGTTCTCGTGTCTGATTATCTGACGGTGTGTTCTCGTGTCTGATTATCTGACGGTGTGTTCTCGTGTCTGATTATCTGACGGTGTGTTCTCGTGTCTGATTATCTGACGGTGTGTTCTCGTGTCTGATTATCTGACGGTGTGTTTCTCGTGTCTGATTATCTGACGGTGTGTTCTCGTGTCTGATTATCTGACGGTGTGTTCTCGTCTCTGATTATCTGACGGTGTGTTCTCGTGTCTGATTATCTGACGGTGTGTTCTCGTGTCTGATTATCTGACGGTGTGTTCTCGTCTCTGATTATCTGACGGTGTGTTCTCGTGTCTGATTATCTGACGGTGTGTTCTCGTGTCTGATTATCTGACGGTGTGTTCTCGTGTCTGATTATCTGACGGTGTGTTCTCGTGTCTGATTATCTGACGGTGTGTTCTCGTGTCTGATTATCTGACGGTGTGTTCTCGTGTCTGATTATCTGACGGTGTGTTCTCGTGTCTGATTATCTGACGGTGTGTTCTCGTCTCTGATTATCTGACGGTGTGTTCTCGTCTCTGATTATCTGACGGTGTGGTGTCTGTATCTCGTCGTGTCTGATTATCTGACGGTGTGTTCTCGTCTCTGATTATCTGACGGTGTGTTCTCGTGTCTGATTATCTGACGGTGTGTTCTCGTCTCTGATTATCTGACGGTGTGTTCTCGTCTCTGATTATCTGACGGTGTGTTCTCGTCTCTGATTATCTGACGGTGTGTTCTCGTCTCTGATTATCTGACGGTGTGTTCTCGTCTCTGATTATCTGACGGTGTGTTCTCGTGTCTGATTATCTGACGGTGTGTTCTCGTCTCTGATTATCTGACGGTGTGTTCTCGTCTCTGATTATCTGACGGTGTGTTCTCGTCTCTGATTATCTGACGGTGTGTTCTCGTCTCTGATTATCTGACGGTGTGTTCTTGTCTCTGATTGGTCAGATGGGACATGATGGTGTTCTTCATGTGTCACTGTTTGGCCTGGTTCATCTCAGACTACATCCAGCTCACAGGAGTACAGGTAAATACTACAACTACTACAACTACTACAGCTACTACAGCTACTACAACTACTACAACTACTACAGCTACTACAACTACTACAACTACTACAGCTACTACAGCTACTACACACTACTACACTACTACAGCTACTACAGCTACTACAACTACTACAGCTACTACAACTACTACAACTACTACAACTACTACAACTACTACAACTACTACTACTACAGCTACTACAGCTACTACTACAACTACTACACTACAACTACTACAGCTACTACACACTACTACACTACTACTACAGCTACTACTACTACACTACTACAGCTACTACTACAACTACTACACCTACTACACCTACTACAACAACTACTACAACTACTACAGCTACTACAGCTACTACAGCTACTACAGCTACTACACTACAACTACTACAACTACTACAACTACTACTACAGCTACTACACTACAACTACTACAGCTACTACTACTACAACTACTACAGCTACTACAACTACTACTACTACTACTACTACTACTACTACTACAGCTACTACAGCTACTACACTACTACAGCTACTACACTACTACACTACTACAGCTACTACACTACAACTACTACAGCTACTACTACTACAGCTAACTACAACAACTACACTACACTACTACAGCTACTACAGCTACTACACTACTACAACTACAACAACTACTACAGCTACTACTACAACTACAACTACAACTACTACAGCTACTAGCTACTACTACACTACTACTACAACTACTACAGCTACTACTACTACAGCTAACTACTACAGCTACTACAACTACTACAACAACTACTACAGCTACTACAGCTACTACAACTACTACAACAACTACTACAGCTACTACAACTACTACAGCTACTACTACTACACTACTACAACTACTACACTACTACTAACAGCTACTACAACTACTACTACTACAACTACTACAGCTACTACAGCTACTAACTACTACTACTACAGCTACTACAGCTACTACTACACACTACTACAACTACACTACTACAGCTACTACACTACTACTTACAGCTACTACTACAACTACTACTACTACTACAACTACTACAGCTACTACAACTACTAACTACTACACTACTACTACAGCTACTACAGCTACTACTACTACACTACTACACTACTAAGCTACTACAACAACTACTACAGCTACTACAACTACTACAGCTACTACAACTACTACAACTACTACAACTACTACAGCTACTACAGCTACTACAGCTACTACTACAACTACTACAACTACTACAACTACTACAGCTACTACAACTACTACAGCTACTACTACTACAACTACTACAGCTACTACAGCTACTACTACTACAGCTACTACAGCTACTACAACTACTACAACTACTACAGCTACTACTACACAACTACTACACTACTACAACTACTACAGCTACTACAACTACTACAGCTACTACAACTACTACAGCTACTACAACAACTACTACAGCTACTACAACTACTACAACTACTACAACTACTACTACTACAGCTACTACAACAACTACTACAACTACTACTACTACAGCTACTACAACTACTACTACAGCTACTACTACTACTACTACTACTAACTACTACTACTACTACAGCTACTACAGCTACTACTACAGCTACTACAACTACAACTACTACAGCTACTACAACTACTACAGCTACTACAGCTACTACTACTACAGCTACTACAACTACTACACTACAACTACTACAGCTACTACTACTACTACAACTACTACACTACTACAGCTACTACAGCTACTACTACTACTACTACTACACACTACTACAGCTACTACACTACTACTACTACAGCTACTACTACAGCTACTACAGCTACTACACTACACTACTACACTACAACTACTACAGCTACTACTACAACTACTACACTACAAACTACTACAACTACTACTACTACAGCTACTACTACTACTACAACTACTACAGCTACTACTACAACTACTACAGCTACTACAACTACTACAACTACTACAGCTACTACAGCTACTACAACTACTACAGCTACTACACTACAACTACAACAACTACTACAGCTACTACTACAACTACTACAGCTACTACAACTACTACAACTACTACTAAGCTACTACAACTACTAACACTACTACTACTACAACTACTACAAGCTACTACAACTACTACAACTACTACAACTACTACAGCTACTACTACTACAGCTACTACAGCTACTACAGCTACTACAACTACTACTACTACTACTACAACTACTACAGCTACTACTACTACAGCTACTACAACTACTACAACTACTACAGCTACTACTACTACAACTACTACAACTACTACAACTACTAGCTACTACAACTACTACAGCTACTACAACAACTACTACAGCTACTACAACAACTACTACAGCTACTACAACTACTACTACAGCTACTACAGCTACTACAACTACTACAACTACTACAACTACTACAGCTACTACAACTACTACAGCTACTACAACTACTACAGCTACTACAAACTACTACAACTACTACAGCTACTACAACTACTACAACTACTACAGCTACTACAACTACTACAACTACTACAGCTACTACAACTACTACTACTACAACTACTACAGCTACTACAGCTACTACAGCTACTACAGCTACTACTACAACTACTACAACTACTACAGCTACTACAGCTACTACAACAACTACTACAGCTACTACAACTACTACAACTACTACAGCTACTACAGCTACTACAACAACTACTACAGCTACTACAACACACTACTACAGCTACTACAGCTACTACAACTACTACAACTACTACTACAGCTACTACAACTACTACTACAACTACTACAGCTACTACAACTACTACAACTACTACAGCTACTACACTACTACAGCTACTACAGCTACTACAACTACTACTACAACTACTACACTACTACTACACTACTACAGCTACTACAACTACTAACTACTACAACTAGCTACTACAGCTACTACAACTACTACACTACAACTACTACAACTACTACAGCTACTACAACTACTACAACTACTACAGCTACTACACTACTACAACTACTACAACTACTACAGCTACTACACTACAACTACTACAACAACTACTACAACTACTACAACTACTACACAGCTACTACAGCTACTACAACTACTACAACTACTACAACTACTACAGCTACTACAGCTACTACAACTACTACAACTACTAACTACAACTACTACAGACTACTACAGCTACTACAGCTACTACAACAACTACTACAGCTACTACAACTACTACAGCTACTACAGCTACTACAACAACTACTACAGCTACTACAGCTACTACAACTACTACAACTACTACAGCTACTACAGCTACTACAGCTACTACAACTACTACAACTACTACAACTACTACAGCTACTACTACTACAACTACTACAACTACTACAACTACTACAGCTACTACAGCTACTACTGATTCAGTCGTGGCTCAGTCGCGGCTCAGTCGGCTCAGTCGCGGCTCAGTCGCGGCTCAGTCGCGGCTCAGTCGCGGCTCAGTCGCGGCTCAGTCGCGGCTCAGTCGCGGCTCAGTCGCGGCTCAGTCGCGGCTCTCTCCTGGGTCAGTCGCGGCTCTGTCGCGGCTCTGTCGCGGCTCTGTCGCGGCTCTGTCGCGGCTCTGTCGGCTCTGTCGGCTCAGTCGGCTCAGTCGCGGCTCAGGTCAGTCGCGGCTCTGTCGCGGCTCTGTCGCGGCTCAGTCGCGGCTCAGTCGCGGCTCAGTCGCGGCTCAGTCGCGGCTCTGTCGCGGCTCAGTCGCGGCTCTGTCGCGGCTCGCGGTCCTGGCTCAGTCGCCGGCTCAGCTCGTCGCGGCTCTGTCGCGGCTCAGTCGTCGCGGCTCAGTCGCGGCTCAGTCGTGGCTCAGTCGTGGCTCAGTTGTGGCTCCCTTGTCGTTCCAGGGCGGTGCTCCGTGCTTCTCTAAGCTGGACTTCGCGGTGGCGTGGTTCATCCGGGAGTCGATGGCCGTGCAGATTTTCCTGTCTGCGCTCTGGGATCCCACGATCAGCTGGAGAACGGGTCGGTACCGTCTGCGGTGCGGCGGCACGGCCGAGGAAGTGCTGGACGTCTGACACTTTTACATATTTATTATTTCACTTTGGACTTTTTGTTTTGGTGCTAAACTGAACAAAGGCACGCCGCCACGAAGCCACGCCCCCTCCTCCTCCTCCTCCAATCACACGCTCCCTGAACGCCCATTAACCGCCAAACCCGGGACGCTGAGGCCGCGCTCCTTAATCCAGTTTTTCTGACATTTCCGTAAGATCGGCTCCGTTCCCGTTTCCCGGCACTCGTCTGGAAACGTGCGGACGGACGCTTCCGCTGGATTCCCGACTCTGGGAATGTGATCAAACTGTGTTCAGCGGCCGCAGCGTCGTCACAACCCGCCAGAGATTTAAACAGGGACGCGACTGATCACATTTTTATTCAATTCGACAAACTGCGCGGGACATTTGTGTGAAATCATTTATAAAAGGAAAAAAGGAAGAACACAGCGACATCTAGAGGAAGAAAAGCACAACATGTTCTCACTTTTCTACGATTTTGTTGGACGAGATGAAGATTTGACAAGAATAAACCCAGAATCAATCCAGGATCAAATTAGACCTAAACCAGGTCTAAATAAAGTCTAAACTAGGTCTAAATAAAGTCTAAACTAGGTTTAAAAAAGTCTAAACCAGGTCTAAATAAAGTCTAAACTAGGTCTAAATAAAGTCTAAACTAGTTTAAAAAAGTCTAAACCAGGTCTAAATAAAGTCTAAACTAGGTCTAAATAAAGTCTAAACTAGGTCTAAATAAAGTCTAAACTAGGTCTAAATAAAGTCTAAACTAGGTTTAAAAAAGTCTAAACCAGGTCTAAATAAAGTCTAAACTAGGTCTAAATAAAGTCTAAACTAGGTTTAAAAAAGTCTAAACCAGGTCTAAATCAAGTCTAAACCAGGTCTAAATCAAGTCTAAACCAGGTCTAAATCAGATCTAAACCAGGTCTAAATCAGATCTAAACCAGGTCTAAAGCAGCTCTACACTCAGACATTTGTAAAAGAAACATGCAGCTGAAGAAAACGACACATTTTCTGAGTTTTTCCAGATTTAGTCGGAGCCCAAAGGAAATCGACTTCCACATGTTTCCAAACGTAAACGTCAACACAACTTTTCCACATCGTCCGAGTGTCTCTGTCCAAGTGTGTGTGTGTGTGTACGTGTGTGTGTGTGTGTGTGTGTGTGTGTGTACGTGTGTGTGTGTACGTGTGTGTGTGTGT